AAGTTCATAGAATTTTAACACTTTTATTATATTATTTTGACAGCTTAAGTCAATGATCTAAGCCATTACGGCAAACGGTCAGTTACTGTATGATTTTTTACCACAAAAATCATTTTTACTTATTTTCCAAATGCCCGCATGTTCCAATTACTTAAAGCCAGTCAGAAAGCGACGATTTATTGCTATTTACAAATCCAAAATCTGATACTGTTTAATCTTTGATAGTCTGACGGATTATTTTTCAGCAGTGGAACTGATCTCGACAACAGGCCGATCGAGCGGCGATATCCCCGAGCCACACACCGAGTTGCTTCAGAGTAGCGCCGATGCGGCTACAACAGCGAGTGTCGTCCAACCGCAAACCGAACCCTCACAGCTGCCACGAAGATGTATGGTTTCTAAAATTGAGGCACTTTAAAAAAGTGAAGGTAACCTGATAGTAAAGCAAATACTGCAAATAACGGCTAAAAAAATGGCTTAAATTACACTGTTTTTTATCATAAATCAAGTTTTGTTCCATTGCATGTATGAAGAACTAGCATCGGATCCCAGAAGGGCTCTCTGTATAATTTTGGCACTCTGTCTTCTTGACGACATGCAGTTCGTCATTCACTAATCTTACCATAGCTACATAACTTTCTATCACATCCGTTCTGCCGAAAAACTGGCAAGTAGAATTAAGTCGCACCAAGACTGATAAATAAACTGTAAATTAAGATAAGGGCGTAACATACTAGCAGTTTTTGCATCACATATGTTTGATCACTTAGAATAGTACCACGTCCGAATGCGCAAGGCACAACGTAAAAGTAGGTCAGCAAGCGGACTGCAACCAGTACAACCATGGAATGAAGTATGCTCAAAGTATTTTCCAAAATCGTTCTTTGAGCACCTGGAGAGGTTGTTAATTCATAAATCGGTTTTCCAGCTACATAGCTGGAACATCTTCTATTACTCTGACCATGCTATCCCGCTTAATGGCAGTCCTGACCTCGTTCCGCCTTTGGAAAAAATTTCCAGTCACCGATTTCCACGACAGGAACACCTTTCAAAGGGATTTCCGTTCTAAAATCATACAACAGTTGAACCCCCCTTTCAGATTCATATCATGTGAGAATGTGTCGATTATCACCGGTAGTAAATATAGTTATGAGGGGTAAGAGGGGAAGGAGGGGGAGTTTCTGCTCGTGAGGATGTTGTGCGTAAATGTCGTTTGTCAGTACCGAAGAGAAAGGAACAATGTTCGTCATCGGTAAAA